TTTTTACTGGCCGTCTTATTTATCTATTCGATCTCTACGCTCCGCTACGTACAGTACGTGTCACAAAACCTGCTGCGCCCTGGCTCACTCCTAACTTGAAAATGATTTTTCAACTCAGAGACGAGGCACTCGCTGTCTATCAGCATATCAGAACTGATCAGAATTGGGCCAGCTACAAAGATTTGAGAAATTATGCCCTTGCATCGCTTAGAAGAGAGAAAAAAGCATATATGTCACGTTTCCGGAATCTTAACTCTAGTCAAGCTTGGAAACACCTGAGGAGGATGAATGTGGTAGCCCAGAAACATGTTGCGATACCTCCCAGTCTCCTTGAGCCTAACATTTTAAATAATTATTTTCTTTCGATTTTCCAGACAGCTGCAACTGATCCAAATTTGATTGATAGTGTCTCTAACTCTTATAGCGATAGACGCCATACACCGGATGCACCTCTGTTTGATTTTAAACTCCTTACTCAGCAAGACATCGTCAATATAATCTCTAACATTAAGTCTACGGCATGTGGCTCTGATGGTCTAACTTTAAATATGGTTTGCTTATGTTTGTCTGATACCATAGACCATATAACTCACATTATTAATGTCTGTCTCGAAACAGGTTACTTTCCTGCCAGTTGGAAAAATGGTATTATTATTCCAATAGCTAAAACTAATCATCCAGAACAATATTCGGATCTCAGGCCAATTACCTTATTATGCTTTCTATCAAAAATACTCGAAAGAGCTGTCTACTCACAACTAGTGGAGTTTTTCGAACAAAACCACTTATTTCCTCTACATCAGTCAGGTTTCAGAGCTGGTTACAGCACTACTTCATCTTTATTACATCTTACTGATTCCATCATTCACAATTTAGATAATCACATCAACACCGTCTTGGTACTGTTAGATTTCTCGAAAGCCTTTGATATGGTCAATCACCAGAGTAAGTTACCTCATTATGGAATGTCAGATATTGTTCTAAGGTTCTTTGAGTCATACTTGCTAAATCGTCAACAAACAGTGAAAACTGATCAGGGAATATCCTCCTCTGAGCCAGTTCCTTCAGGAGTTCCTAAGGGCTCAGTATGTTAATTGTTGTTATATATAGGCACCATTGTGATCTCCGAAACGGTAAGAGATATCGGTCGAATGAATGGTGGAAACGTTGCGTATTTAGTTATATATATATATATATTTTAGAAAATGCTTTAGAAAAGTATCTCAATAGATACACAGAAAATGAAATAAATGTTCCACAAAATTCTTTCAAGTTTTTTCTGAATTTATTTGAGATAGGATTTCAAAATAAATTACACATTTACATTGCCACTTTTTATCCCCGCAGGGTGGCATAGATAGAACATTAATATGATTTTTTGTCTACTATCCCCCGTCTCAACTTGCACGCCAATTTTGCATAGGCAAATAACATTAAATTCTGATTTCAACTATTATAACACGTCATATAATCTTATAAAAAAATGTTTCCTGAGCGAGTATCGAAATTACCACATAGTAATTAAATTGATATGGTGATATGTGTGTGATATATGATCTTGTGGCATTCCTTTTACCGTTTCCGAGATCCCACAAGCGAGGTTTGAATTTGAAACAATACCTAAAATGTATAGTGCTTTTAGCAAAACTAAGTTTATATCTAACACATGTTCCAACTAATCCTAGTAATTTCTCATCTAATAGATATTGATTCAGCTTGTGGAGAATCCTGAATGAATAATTTAATTCCAGTAAACCATGTTATCTCGATTTAATTTTTACCGAGCTAGGGAAAAGTGGGGGCAGCTGACCCCCCTTGCCGCCTGGTTACGCCCTTGCCATTGATGGATCTGAGTTGTTCAGTCACCTAATCTGTGGGTACTACCACTGTTCGCAGAAGTGCAAATGATGTAATCGTCTTTGAGCGACGATGCGCTATTTTTATTTGCATGAGCGTGAGGAGCTTTCGGAAATGTGAAAGGTCAAGTATAGGTAGTTTAACACCAATAGCTGCATTTTTAGATACCTCACCGGTGGGAGGACGGATGAAGTTGAGTGAGCCTACTATTAAAATTATGTAAACCTTGACAAGGGCAAAGCTGAGCGGTTTACGCTTCCACTGGCCTCGTGGTTTATATTGCGTTTGTCACCTGTATAAATTGCGGGCCCTGGAAAGTTTGCGGCATATGTGGTTATACTGATGTTTATTCCATTTTACGTCTGTGAGCACGGACATCTTTATGGTCCTGCATTTGAATGCAGCGTTAGATTTCATTACTATTGAATTTTGACTGACAATCAGCGTTGCAAGATTAGTTTCTACATCTGAGTTTTTGAGGCGTTAGATCACAGGAGGACCCCGCACAAAATATATGGAAAATAGGTCTCATTCGATTTGTCTAAAGATTCAGTATGATATATTTCTCGCCTTCCGCAACAAAAGTTGTCATAAGACCAAAGTAATCCTATGATTAGTTTCTAAGGAATATCGGATGAAGCTTGACGATTTGCAAAATGGCGAATGTTCCCATAAAATCGATGTTTAAATACTCCATGAGAACTATTCAAATGAAGCATGTGCTGCATCTAGGAGACCTTTAGAACATAGCTGGTACTCTTAAATATACTAAGTGACATATAAATCCGAACACCCAGTTTAAATGATTTTATTTTAATAAAAGTTGGTGAATGTATTTATCTTAATGTAAATAACAAGTGAAAATATTTTCAGCCTTATCAGTTGGACATTCTGGTTTTATACTGCTTTTTTTTAATTCACTAACGCTCTAAAAATGAATATTTCAGCCGCAGTAAAGAATCAATGTTGGCGGATTTTGGTTCTTGACATCCTTTACGATCGGTTACGATGCCTAGAGTACGGAGACCTGTACGATTTCGTCAACTTAGTGAGTTTGATAGGGGCCGTATAGTAGGACTTCGGGAAGCCGGAATTTCTTTTCGGGCAATTGCTGTTAGAGTGCAAAGAAGTGTAGACACTGTGGTTAGGTGTTGTCAGGCATGGCTTCGAGAAGACCGTACGCAAAGAGCAAGGGGCACTGGACGCCGCCGTAGAACAACAGAGCGTGAAGATCGCCGCCTAAGATTATTGACCTTAAGGGACCGTTTCTCCACTACCAGGTCCATTGCAAATGAATGGTTTGCAGAACACGGAAGACCTATTGGCATGCGAAGTGTTTACCGACGAATGAGAAGATTTGGCTTGTTTTCATACCGGCCACACTGGGTCCTCCCTTTAACTCGAGAACACCGACGTAATGGCCTTGAGTGGTGCAGACAACGGTCACTCTGGGATCAGGAATGGAACAGTATTGTCTTTAGTGACGAGTCTCGATTTTGTTTAGGCATGCACGATGGTCGTGCCAGGGTTAGAAGGCGACGTGGTGAAAGGAGGAATCCACAGTTGTTTGTTGAAAGACATGTTCATCACACTGTTGGAGTTATGGTTTGGGGTGCTATAGCTTATGGTTCCAGGTCACCTTTAATCTTCATCAGAGGTAACATGAACGCGCAGCGTTATATCCACGAAGTTTTAGAACCCCATCTTTTACCCTATCTTGACACCCTGGCAGATCCAACTTTCCAACAAGGTAATGCCCGACCACATGTTGCAAGAGTTACAATAGACTTCTTTCAACATAATAATGTCACATTATTACCATAGCCACCAAGATCTCCCGACTTATCCCCAATTGAGCACGTGTGGGATATGATGGGTAGGAGATGGCTCAATTTGCAACGTCCTCCTCAGACTCTAGGAGCACTTCGAGAGGAGCTGGTTGTTGCCTGGAATGAGATACCACAGGAGGACATTGACCACCTGATCAGAAGCATGCCTAGGCGCGTTGGAGAATGCGTAGCACATCAGGGTGCATCCACACATTATTACAGGTCAAAGGGCTTTAAAGCAGTGCAATCATTTTGAAATTTTTATCATTTACTTATTTTGCTTCATTAAGTACTTATACAGAATTTTATTAAAATAAAACCATTTAAACTGGGTGATCGGATTTATATGTCACTTAGTATAGATGCCATCCTCCAATTATTATTTAATACTGTAAAGCTAGATAAAGTAGAAGGTATTCTCACAAGAAATTCTCTCACAATAAAGTGACGACTGTGTATATTTTATCGAAAAGTTTATGAAAATAACGAGGACTGACTTCATGATCATGCAATAATTAATGGGCCTCATTGCGGATGTAAATCTAGCGTCCAACTCCTAGGCACATATTTTTTTTTTCTATTTGCTCTCCATGAGGTTGTAGTTAGATATTCTTCGAAAAATTTGACCCAAACCCTTTGATACCGGAAGCAGAACAAAACAAAAAAATTCTGGTCATTACCCTAAAGCTTTTTTTCACACTCGTGTACATTTTTTTTATTCCGCCTTCAAAATCAACATAACTTTGAATTGAGGTAGTCAAAGAGAACTAAGCAACCACGACCTTTCTGTGACCTTGTTAAGCGAAATGTCCTCTGGAGTGATTTTGTTTGAATTCGCGAACATCTCGTCAATTTCGTATAAAAATAAACTTGCCCTTAAATTGACCTTGCAATTGTCATGACGAATATCAACATGACAGCTCCCAGCACCCCTTAATGAAACGTTTTTAAATGAAATACTCTCTTCGGTATGACAATTCTATGAGTGTTCGGACTGATAATTACAATCGGCACATTCACCATTTTTACAAATCGGGCAAAATTCCTCCCACTATTTCTCATAAACTAATCATACGATTGCTATGGACCCTCAAGAACTTTTGTTCAGGAGAAATACGAGTACATCATACTCAATTTTCAGACAAGTCGACTGATACCCATTTTACGTAAGTGTCGTGCGGGGTGCTTTAAAATTTAAAATTGTTATGATCCGAAAAATATGCGAATAATTCCTCCTCATAGGTGGAGGTGTCGGTAACAATGTCCTCTGTCTGGAAAGTATGTTCAACCGTAACATATCCACATTATTTACAGATCAAGGGAAGACGCTATACCACTTTTACAGAAAAGGGCTGACGACTACGACGATAGAGACAGCGAACAGTGTGGCGTCACTGCTGACAGAGCTTTTTCTAAAAGAATCATTGGCGGAAAGAAAGCTTTATTTGGGCAATATCCATGGCAAGCGTACATAAAAATTGCTACGTATCAGTGTGGTGGAGTACTAGGTATAGTTATTAATTTTGGATTATGGTTGAGGTTGGTTGATTCGACTTTAATAATACTAAGTGAAAGAAGAAAGAACAGTAGTAATTTTATCACAAAGATTTTCTATTTATATGTTTGTTTAGGTTATGTCAACCTTTTCAAACATATCAAAAAAGTGCATTTTGTAATATCGTCTGTTCTTGTGTGGCCTTGGCCCTTAGAACTCCCGATCTTTCACCCGTTGAACACACAATGGACATTACGGAAAGTGTACTACTTGATTTACATCATCTTACTAGGAGAATTTTGGACGTGGAGGCCAAAAAATTATTATTTTTTTTGTATTTATTTCAAGGGTTAGATTTTTCCAAAACTTTGATCAATTATCTAACCACTAAGTAACATTTATATAAAAAATTGTTGTGATATATTCATTATTACTGGGTGTTCTTCTTTCTATGTCACTTAGTACGTTTTTGTATTTCAGTGTCACGAAGATTCGTAGCTACAGCAGCGCACTGTATAATAAACGCCAGATTGAAGGAAATTCTAGTTTACCTTGGAGAGTTAGATACTCAAGACACAGGTGACGTAGAGGAACTAGCTCCAGCAGAACTTCACAGGGTAATGTTATCTCAGATGTAATCATAAATTCAATGTTTGATGAAACCATGTGACAGAATCTACTGTGGTTTCTTTGAACTGAACATCAATTTGGTTTCAGGTAAAGAAAAGAATAATCCATCCGAAATTTCGCTACAGGTCTACGCAACCTGACCTGTACGATCTGTCACTACTCGAGCTTCTAACGGAAGCTGGTAGGGCGTTCCACATAATCCCAATATGCCTGCCACATTACACTATTGACTTAGCTGGAAGAAGTGGAGTCGTTGCTGGTTGGGGAAAGGTGCAGCCATCGAATGAACTCATAGGAACAAACGTTCTAAGAAGTGCTTCGGTTCCTTTACTAGGTACGATATCCTCTTTTAATGTCCTATAGATAGACTTATGAGGTATAACATGAACAAATCAAAGTTAGACAGTTAGATAAGGAAAATTAAATTAGAGAAAGATAAGAGAAACATGGCATCCATAAAACGACTGCCGGCATCTAAAGAGAGAGGTGCTCATTTAGTTGGAGATAAATGCGTCGTTGTAACATAGATAATGCTCTTTGGATTAATTTATTAAACATCACTTGTAGTGAACGCATTTTTTGTTTCGATATTTATTCATGGTGGGATATTTATCACCCATTTTTAACCTAAGAAATATGTTTTTCATAAAGTTATAATTCACACTTTGTGCTAGAGAAAACCTATATGTTAGCACATAGCTATTTAACTTTTAGTTAAGTAATGAAATAAGTACGTCAGCCTGAAGCCCAAAGATTTTCTAACTTCATATCAAGACAGCTTGGTCTTAAAGCGATTTGCTTGTTTATTTAGTATGAATTTTTAACGTAACCCCCAGAAACCTTGAAAAGAGCTCAACTAGCTACCTAGCTTTAATGTAGCATTTTATAAATATTTCATAACAGCTTGGCAACACCGTATCGTTAATCTGCCACCTATTCCCATGCTGAGGAGTTGTTAAGTAGCACGAAATAGCTGTCCATATGTGGACGTATGCGATCGGACGAAAGTAACAATAAAATAGACAACGGTTTATTTTAAAGATTTCCTTCAGAAAATGTATGATTTTAGATTTTTCTCTAAGGTAGAGTGAGTGAAAAGTGAAAGCTCGCATCCTGCCACTGAGTCTTGTATTTGTATTTTGTTGATAACCTTAAATCAGACAATACAGTTTTGATGAGCATTTAAAATACGTTATTTACTTATTTAGTTCTTTTGAAAATAATACGAGATCATATGCCCAACGTTTTTGCCCTATACAGGGTGTTTCAAATTTGACCCTCACCATTGGTATCTCGGGAACTGTAAGAGATACAAAAGTCGCTTGAATTGGTAAATATTGCGTATTTAGGTAATCGACAAAATGTCGCTTAGAAAGTTTAGAAATTCGAAGTACGAGGGTCACTATTTATATTTTGAGCGTAATAATGAAAAGTATTGTCATTGAAAATCACTTTACTGTTTTTCAAAGTATCATCCATTATGATCTATGCACTTTTTCATGCGATGGAACCATTTTTCACTCAGCTTGAGATATCTCCAAACCATACTTTATGAACTCATCCACAACTTCTTCTGCCGACAGAAGTCGTCGTCCACGCAATTTATCCTTAACGTAAAGGAATGAAAAAAAAGTCGTTGGGTGCCAAGTCGGGAGTGTATGAAGGATGACCCATTAAATCAATATTCTGATTGCTCAAATAGTCCATTGTTTCACGAGAATGATCCGACGGCGCTTGTTGGTTTTCCTTATTTCACCGAATACTTTCGGCAAAAAAACAGTTCTGTGCCATTCAGAATTAACTGCTTTATATTCCTTTAAAGGTACTGTTGTCACACGACCAATTTTTTCGAAAAAAAAAGGGGCCACCATTTGTGTCTAAGTGCTTCGTTCGCGACGAACCTTTCTTAGATTTGGCTCGTCTTGAAACACCCATATAGTCGACTGCTGTTTAAGCATAGATCCATGATCCACCAATCTTATTCACGTCTTTTGAAGCACCGTCATTATATTTTTCGAGCATCTGCTTGCACCAATCGACACGAGCCTCTTTTTGAGCTTTGTTCGAACTATGTGGAATCCAAGGAGAACAGACCTTTTCCACAGCTAAATGATCATGTAATGTTTTATGTATGCTAGTGGAACTAATGCCTAAAGCTGCTTCAATCTCACAATATGTCACATGAGGATCTTGCATTATTAGTTTTTGCACAGCATCAATGTTTTCTGACATAACAATTGATTTTGGACGTTCTTCACGGCGTTCGTCACCAAGATCATGGCGGCCTCGATTTAATTCGTTATACCATCGTTTCACAGTGACAAAGGATGGAGCTTCATCACCAAAAGTTGAAGTAAGTTGATCGATGCATTCTTGGATTGATAATCCACGTCGAAGGTCGTAATAGACCATCGCACGAAAATTTTCACGAGTCCATTCCATTTTTTCAGTGAGACACAGTTTTCAAGTCACTATCAACAACATAAATCGTGCTGAAATGACAAAGTGGTCTGAAGAAGCTTATGCTTAAAAATGTCAAGCTTGGAGTTGGAAACGTCAGATGGAGCCTAAGCACACTTGGTGTTGCCGAGGCTCAAAATATAGACGAAAAAAAACAGAATTTTTCCAAAATCGTTTTAACCTTTTCCTAACTTTATTTGTTTCAAAATAACTTACATAATTGATAACTCTATACATCTACGCAAAAATCCAGTATGGCGTCCCTAAGAAAAAATGAAGTTAATGCTGAGGTACAAATAACGAAACGCTATATTGAAATTCTAATATATTGCATTCCTGTAGAGGAGAAAAGGTGGCAATGTGAATGTGCAATTTATTTTGAGGCCCCACTACACTTAAAGTGAGGAAAAAATTAAAACTACTTTTGGAAAATTCTGTTTTCCGTCTCTCTCCGGAAGAACTTTGAATTACGAAACATTCTAAGCGGCATTTTGTTGATTACCTAAATACATCCCGATTTGAGCCCGCATGTCCCTTTTTTTCAACTACCTGCTTGCAACCATATTCTAAATTCTTTTCATCTGATTACTTCATGAAGTATATAGAGATGACTGAAAAATATTGTTTTTAATTTTGTGCATTTTATTGTCCTTTGTTCGGTCGTAACTTTTTAACAAATATTAGTACAGCTTTGAAATTTATTGTATGTGAATATTCCACTGTTTTAGATGAATGAAACAAGTTCATACTTTTATACTAATCACTTTCTCCCTTCGAAAAATTTTTGCTTTTCTTAAAAACACAACTTGCTGCAAGACGAGGCTTCAAGAAAATCAAAGATTTTTCGAAAAGGCAAAGTGTTAAGAACTGAAGTAATTACTCGTTTCATTCCTCCATAAAAGAGGAATGTTCACACACAATTTTAGAGCTGTACTTATATTTGTTAACAAGAAAAATGAACAAAAAATGCTCGAGAAATGCATTTTTTGACAAAAAAAATGAGAAAATTGTTTTTTACTCATTTCTATACACACCAGGAAATTATCAGATGAAAAGGATTTAGAGTACTGCTGCACACATGAAGCTGAACAAATAAACTTTAAAAAAAGGGTCATGCTACCTCAAGCAAGTTCTCTTACAGTTTCGGAGATCCCACTGGTGAGGGTCGAATTTGAAACACCCTGTATAGTTACATACACCTCACAAGAGACGGCATTACTACCGTAGATCATTTTTGTTACACTAGCTTTTCGTTCTAGAAAGGGTGTTGGGTGATTAAAGTCATTAATGGGTTCTCGCTCGATTGTACTAATCATATTAGACAACAAAATACCCCTGGTTTGCGAAATAATTGTAAAGCTTGGCTTTATTGCTGCAAGTTGTCCAAAACATGGACGCATAAAATAAAAAAAAGAATGAAAAAACGGATTCAATCGAAAGTGTTGACAAGAACGAAAAAACTCTTCATATAAGGTTTTCAGGTATTTATGAGACCTGCAAAATGAGACCACATGTAAAAGGAGCCCCGCTAATAGCAACAAGATTATGGCCGAAAACCGAGGAAAACTGCAGGTTTTGGCACTTGTTGGTAATGCGGCGATGGCTTCTCGCAGACAATTGAAATTCTTCATATTCGTGGGATTCGTACTTCTAAATAACCACCATCCGGCCATCACTACTAGTTTATTGAGCAATATACAGGCTTAGTTCCAATGGCGTTTTATAGCAAAATACACTAGTTTACGTCGCCGATATGAATCGCAAAAAGAATTCCGGAAGATAAATGTTATTTTTATGCAAAAAGAAATGGGTTACGTTTTTTCTTCTAAACAAATTCAAACATTTCTTATTGGTGAGTAATTCACAACAAAATATCATAGACACATCCGCTTTTATTTATATTTATTTACTTATTTATATTTATATACAGTTTGGGGTGTTAACAGGTAAACCCAACACACACCCTCAGTGAACTAAAACTAAACTTACATAAAATATCGTATACATATACATATATTACATTATTGAATACGAAATTAATATTTTTTTATCTTCCGATATTGTTGTAACAACATAAACTGAGTGACTAGTTCTAATTATAAGCAATAAACTATTAATTTAACTTTTTTAATAAAAGGAGTATACATAATTTAACATTTACTTACGTTTAATTAAAACTGAAATAAAAATTAAATTAAAATTATACCAGAAATGATATTGGAGGTGATAACTTGAGTTATGTAAAAAAATAAAACATTTCTATTTTAGTCTGCCATAGAGCTGTAATACTCATACTTTAAAGCCTTTTTCAGGAAGGTCAAGCTAAAGTTAAATAAATCTATATTACAGAAATTATTATGATTTTTTTGAGCCCAGAGGGGAATTAAGACCAAGATTAGTTCTACGAAACGGTATTCTAAACAGATGATAGGTTCTAAACGTTCTAACAGGAGTGTTAAAGTTCAAGTTTGCCAAAAAAACCGGACAGTCAGTGAGGCCATTCAACAATTTATGAACACAGCAAATGTCAGAAATCGTTCTTCTATCTTTTAAGGAAATAATATTGAACTGTTTCATAATTTGCGTATAATGATGATCTGTAACAGGTTGGTGAGTTTTATGTGCTAACATCTTCAAAAATTTGTGTTGATCATCAGCATATAACAAATATTTACTGAAATGAAAAACAGAAGTACGGTTGTTCATGTATATGTTAAATAACAATGGTCCTAAGTGACTACCTTGTGGTACGCCTGAAGTTACTAAGAATGTCTCCGAACGATACTCATTGATAGTCACCACTTGTTTACGATTACTTATATACGATGCTAGCCACTTGTTTTAAAATATGTATAGGAATGTATGTTTTTCGAATATCGTAACGCATTTATTTGTTCAATTACTCACAAATACGAAATGTTTGAATTTCTTTAGAAGAAAAAAACGTAAGCTTCGTTTGTCGCATAAAAATAACATTTATTTTTCTGAATGCTTTGTGATTCATGTAGGCGAGGTAAACACGTGTAGTTTGCTATTAAATGCTCTTTGAACGGACCCTGTATATTGCTCAGTAAACTAGTAGTAATGGCCGGAAAACAGGTGTTTTGGGCTAAACAATTAGAAGTTCTAAAGAAACGTTTTGACCAATATGATCCAATTTTGTTGTTGTTATTTATAAGTATGAATCATACCGATTTGAAGAATTTCAAGTAGTTGCGTGGAATTATCGTCATATTACCAACAAGTGCCGAAACCTGCATTTTGTCTCGTTTTTCGACCATAACACTTTTGATATTAGTCGGATCTTTTTATGTGTAGTCTCATTTTGTAGGTCTTATAAATATCTAACAATCTTATATGAAAAGTTTTTTCGTTCCTGTCAACACTTTCGGTTGAATTCCAAAAAACACGTTTTCTCATTCTTTGTTGTCAAATAGAAAAGTAAATTGGTCTGATGCGTCCATGTTTAAAATACTACCTTGAACAACTTGCACCAATAAAACCAGACTGTACAATTATTTCGGGAAAATTTGCTAATATGATTAGACTACTTTTCTTGCTATTCAATTAAATTGAATGCAAAATTGCATTGAAAAGGCAGTTAGAAATTGGGATTCTTGAGTCATCCTGTATATCATTGCAGATATCCACGAGTGCATGAAATGGCACACTCTGAAAAAGATATCGGTGGACCTTCGCGAAGACATGGTCTGCGCAGGCCACCCTGATGGAAAGTACGACGCCTGCCTCGGGGACTCAGGGGGTCCCCTAGTGGTACTTGAAAATGGCCGATGGACCCTCGTGGGCATCACCAGTGCCGGGTTTGGATGCGGAGAGCCACATCAACCTGGTATTTATCATCGCGTTCCTATGACGGCTGATTGGATCAGGGCTGTGATAAGCGGGAGAGGTTTTCAGGTTTGACTGATAGATTTTGAGGTAAATGCATTCAAAAGGTCTACAGTTTCGGATGATTAACCGCTGATAATATTTTGGTGTGCTTGTTGTAATAAACGTCTGACGTGTGGTCAAACTTTGCAGCGGAAAAATGGGTTTTAGTCAGTCTATGTTAAAATAGGCACACACGTGCTGTTTTTCCTCAAGTCAAAACTGTGCAGTCAAGGCCTTGAGGATTTCCTTCAAATGCGGTGCCCCATACACGGACTGAGATTATGCGTCAGTTAGTGACAATCTACCGACAATGATGCTTTGGCGGTAATTGGTTGGCTTATGGTGAAAAAGCGAGCTAAAACTGGTAAAATAAAGCAGCAGAGAAGTGTCTGGGCGAAGGAATAGCTAATAAAGAGAAGCCTGCTTTGGCGAAAAATCGCCACGCCTGGCAACCCTGAGCGATACTACCACACACGGCGAGTTTGGTCTGTTCAGGCCGGCCTGCGAAGTAATCCCCAATGGTTTTCCGAATAAGATTTTATGGACTGTACAGTCCCCCGGCAACCTCAAGGTTTTCATATCACACCTTGAGGGAAACCTCAAGACCTGGACTGCGCAGTGCAAATCTTGAGGAAAAACTATATGTGTGTACCTACCTTTACTTATAAGCGTTTAATTTGCATTTTTTTGATCAGATTGCGACTAGAATTTGACACAAAAAGGGTTTAAGTCGAATCGCAGGACTGATAAATTAGAATTTGAGTTATCGCACAAATAATCTTAGAATGATTGGTTAGAAATATTTTTGTTAGATACTGAAGCTGTGCATCGATTTTTTTGGCAGAGCTATACAGTATGCAACTGGCTGCCAGAATCATCGCAGAATGACGATTGATGCACAGGACTGTAAGCACTTTTTCAGATAGTCAAGCCGCGCTTCAAGCACTTGACTCGATCTGCTCAACGTCGAAATTGCTGTGGAATTATGAAGAAGCTCTTGATAGCGTAATGGATGAAAATAAGATCAGTCTCACATACAGTAGCGGCCAAAAGTTTGGAAACATTCTTAGTAATTTTTAAAAAGTGCGCTAATTTTTTATTCTTTATTATTGACTATTTTTTTTCTCATATAGTTTGCTTACGGTCTTGAGGATACAAATGACAATTTGTGTTTGCTGTGGTACTACAGTCTAGCTTTAAAACACCGTCAGATTATTTTACGACCAAAAATGAGACGACAAAAGTATGGAAACATATTTTTTATTACAAAATTAAATTCAATAGCTCTACGAAAAGATTTCAAAATACTATTTAGCTAATGTTTGGTAGCATAGCCTTTAGCATTCAACACTGCCTGACATCTGCTGCTCATAGAAGACACCAATTTTTTACAGACGTCTGTTGGGATATTTTACATAATCAAGTAAATCGTTCCTGTTTCTTGCCAGTTTTCTTTCATCATGCTCCCAGAGATGTTCTATAGGGTTTAGGTCCGCGGACTGCAAAAACAATGTAAGAAGATAAACATTTTCTAGTCTTAATCAGCCCTTTATGAACTTTGAGGTAGGGTTGGGGTCATTATCGTGCTGGAATGTTTATTTAGGGAGAATGTGTTCACTAAGAATATCTTTGTGAAGTTTTTGATCCATTTTCCCAACAATTTTAACAATTGCACCCTTTCCAGATCTATAAAAGCAGCGCTAAACCATGATGTTGCGTCCACCGTGCTCAACTGTTGGCAACTGATACTTTTTGTCGAATCTTGAGTTAAGTCGATTTTATCACTTAAAAAATGTTGCTCTTCAACATCACGGAGCGGCATAAGTCAGTTCTTAAAAGCTTCAAAGTTATAGAAAAATAAAAATTAAATTTCACGAGGGAGCTTAACTCAAGTTACGCCAATTTTGTGAAATTATGAAATAGACGTTATATATATTTTACAGCGTATGGCTTATCTAAGTTAAACCAGTTCGTAAAATTGTGGTTTTAATTTTGTCAATATACGCACTGTAACTTATCTGTCTTTTTGACTTCACCTTCAGCACGAAATTAATTTAAAAGATATTCCCTAGAAGTTCTGAGTGCAGAGCCAAAAAAAATTACTACAAAAAAATATATGGATTTGAAGTAGCTGTGTGAAGGAGATGTAACGGTAGTTCGTTTACAAGAATACCAAAGATTCGATTTATATCTTCCTCATGAGTAATAGATGAAATACTAATTATTATTTTGTTCGTGTTGTTATATCATTATTATTTGAGTGAGTCTTTTTTTTTGTGCTGCCATATTTAACTTGTATAGGCAGTTAGACAGTTTTAGATACTGCTACTACTACTATTTCCCTTTTTGTAACAATTTTGTCTTCTACTAAAACTAAATATTTATTCTATAAATTACGACCCTTAAATATCACAAAATGACGTATCTACTTTTTTTGGAAATTTTGAACACACAAAATGAAAAATGGGTTAATCGTTGCTCATTTTTGAAAAGATTGTAAACATGAGCAGATATACCCACAAATTCAATTATGTAGCAATAATACCTTTTTGTCAGCAACAACTCAAATCTCGTGAAAACATTTTAAAACGCTCTCCTGTAAAATTGGAAATAATGAGATACGCCAACGCCACTTCGTGTTATGGACGACGATATGCCGTACCGTCAGATCCAAACAAGTTAAATTTGCTTTCATCGCTCCATAAAACTGTTTTACATTGTTGTTATGTCCAAGTTAGAGTTTAGAGTTTTAGCAAATCCAAGCCGAGCAACACGATTTTTTTGTTTTGAAAGGAGAGGCCTTTGCACTGGACACCTACCAAAAAACCCAAAATCCACCAAGCGCCTCTGCACTGTTCTGACAGAAAGATTCTCGGCACCCCCTTCTGCGATTCTTTTGAAAATCTGTGTGGCTGGCATTCGAGGATCTTCATGGGACAAACGTTTAATGTAGCGATCCAAAACCTAATCGGTTTTTTCGGTCTTCCGCACCTGGGTCGCGTTGCTGTTGATCCGTATTCTTGGTATTTACTAATAATTTACTAAATCGTCCCTTTGTCCATTTTTAATCTTTGAGAAATGTCAACATTTCTGACACCACTTTTGCCATTCTCACTGATGTTAAGATTTATCGCACGCAATATCAGAGTATCGCAGAATGAATAAATATGGCAAAACTGTTTCCATACTTTTGTCGTTACAAAAGCTGTGGTATTTAAAAAAAAAACGCGTGTTTTTTATTTTCAGAGAAGTTGAATATTAATAAAATAAGCCTTGCATTAAACGTGAGCCAAAGGTAGACCTTAATATTTATATTATCAGTTCCTTCGCAATTTTAATTGAGGTAGATGAAATAGTTCGAAATAATGTTAATATTTGTTTCCAAACCTTTGTCCGCTACTGTAGATACTAAGACATACATGTTTGGAGGGTAACGAGACAGCTGGCACTCTGTCAAACTGTGGGGCTAGCAGAGCCTTTATAGGGCCAAACCCTAGTGATCGGGATCGCGTACATTGCCGCTAAACAAATAATCTCTGTAGATCTCTACATTTTCCATATGGGAGGAAAGAAAGCTGGACCAATACTGGAAGGCATTAACAGGGTTAGCCCAGGCTAAGGCACTATACCAATCGTAGCAAGCAGGATAACAGACGTACTGCTGTGACTAAACTGGAATACCTTCAAAGCTTTCGTTTGACTGTACACTTGCGTCACTACATAACCAGGCTGGGCTTGGCGGAAGATGCTGAGAGCAGACCGTTCATGAAGGGAGACGAAACGGTTACGGATGTGTAATGCAGATGCACTGCAATTGAGAAAGTCAAATACAGTACACTTGGAGAGTAGTATTCCAAGTAGAAGACCTGCAGGATATTTCTACAAAAAGGTTGATCGACTTCTTCAGAAGGTCGTAATTACTGGGAGAAATTATAAATAAATGTGAGCCAGAATAGAACAGTGAGTCACAGTGGAGGATCGTGATTTACCTGCTCACAAAGAACCTAATCTAACCTAGAAACTGCTTTGTTTTATCGAGGAAACAATATTCCGGACTCAATTCCGTGATGTGATAAATCAGTCGTAAGTTTGACCTCACGTCGGATTGTGTCTTCAAAATATCCACAAATAATTTATTTAAGTCGCATACCTTATTATTTAGAACAGTTTTATGTTGACTACTTTGTATTATTGATTTTAGAATAGACAAAAGGTAAAAAATTAATTGAGAAGTTTCCGATCATTAATGTTAACCAACAAGACGTGTTTACAAAGACAAGGAGATGGATCTAAGCTCATTTTGGAATGAAATGTGAGACATTCAACGTGGGAATGAATCCATCAAATAGTTTTTGATATAACAGTCCACTAAGCAATCGCATATGTTGTGAATGTCTTTTTGAGTTCTCTACCGCCAACCATTTGGAATTTCCCGCATACCTATGGTTGCTAATCACTCTTTCGTGACATTTTTAAAACGTATCCCGCAAAGATTTCACCAAAAAAATATACAAATAAATAATCAGTCATTTCTGCGTGTTCCGGATCACGTAACTTTCAATCATTAATTTTGAACCAGTCACGTCGCAAAAACCTGGTAAGAGGTTGGACTCACATGTACTAAAAAATTGTCTTTACATATTTTACAAATATCGAACAAATAATGTTGCGTTTGTCCAGAGTTCCTTCGCCATCGAATTTCAAAATCTTGAAAACGGACTGCTCTAATTGTATGCAAAAATCGTAGGATCTTGGCCAGAATTTCGCGAGCTGAGTTCGTTCTGAATGCAAGTTGTTAATTCCCGATTTTCGTAAACCTAAAAATTGCATCTCTGTTTTTTTACAGTATTAAAAAATACTCAACAGATATGCGATGAATTTGTACAATTCTTTACTGACATAGGCGAAAATTTAGCAAGTAATATACAAGCAAATGTACAAAATACTCAGCCTCCAAAAAGAACTTTGAACTCATTTATTTTGGATAAAGTCGAACAATGTGAAGTATACACCACTGTTATGTCCTTAAAAAATCGGAAAAGTCCTGGGTTCGATGGTATTAAAAGCGAGCATTTGAAAATTATAGCCGAGGACATAACAGAACCACTCACTTACCTAATCAACAAATGCTTTGAATCTGGCATATATCCCTCAATTTTAAGAAAAGGTAATATAATACCGATACATAAATCAGGAACAAAAACAGATGTTAACAACTATAGACCAATATCAATAATATCCAGTGTAGCAAAGGTTTTTGAAAAAGTTTTATCTACTAGAATGATTCGATACCTCACAAAATTCAAAATTTTAAGTGAAAATCAATATGGAAGGGAAGGCTACATCGGACGCAATAACTAAAATTGTAAATCAAATATATCAAAATATTGATAACAGAATCCCTTCAATCTGCATTTTTGTTGATTTAAAGAAAGCTTTCGACACAGTTAATCACAAATTATTATTAGAAGCATTGGAGAGAATTGGTTTCAGAGGAAACGCGTACTCACTGATCGAAAGTTATTTGTCAAATCGCCCACAATCTGTACAGATATCAGGATCGTTTAGTAAAGAAATGTATATTAAGTGTGGTGTCCCACAAGGAACTGTCTTAGGTCCGCTGTTATTCAATATACAGGGTGACTTTGAAGTTGAGTCATTAATTTTCAGATAATGATTGTAGAAGGAAGATAAACCAAAATATGTGTGTAAAAATAAAAAAAAAAATACCTTGTTTTATAAAGTATCCTCCCGACAAGTATTTCAGTGCGGACCTGTATTTGATCGTGAGGTCCCCTGTGAGGTCTTAAGTCACCTGATTCACGAGCCCGTTGTACTACATTAACAAAGGCACGAGGGGTTGGTTGCACTCGATTGGGAAACCGATCCGCATAAACATGTGCCATTTTTTATTTCGTTTGAGCCACGC